ATATTATAACAAAATTTAAATGTAATCATTTATTTGTAACTGTAATTGTAAACTACATGTTTTAACTTTAGAAACGCAATGTGGAGTAAAAACGAAAGTGATAGCAGTTGATTTTTCTCAAGGACCTAAAGCTGTTGAAACGGTTCGTAGAGAACTGGGATCTATTCCTGTAGGAATATTAGGTAAGGCTGTTTAAACGTTTATTAAATAAATAATAGTAGTATTATTAATTAAAAAGTATGTCGACCGTTCATCTTCAAATATACAAGCGATTTTAAGAAGTTTTGATGCCTGAAGCAAGTGTTTTACGCCTATAAATATTACGTTCAGAGTCCCTAACGAAGTTAAGGAAAAACCAGCACTTCAAGTAGGCCTTTTTAAAACTGGTTGCAACTGGCGTTTTATGCATTTTCCCAATGTGTAATTATTTTTGAGCGTATGTATAGTTGTTGGGAAAGACATAAACACAAGGACTAAACCAGTTATAACATTTAACAAGAAACTGATTGGCTTAGAGCTTAAGAAATAATCCAAACCCATGTACGATATTTTAAATTATAAGAAATGTTGTATTACAGATACGTACGTTATTTGTGGGTATGTAAAATCAATATTTTTTTTTTAAGTAAATAATGTTGGCAAGCAATATTCGTATCCCATGTATTTGGGGGAAGTACCAGATCAAGAATTATGGGATATAATTAATATTAATGTGGGAGCCGTAACAATGATGACCAAAATGATAATTGAAGAAATGAAGAATAAAGGAAGAGGGGCAATAGTTAATGTTTCGTCGGGGGCAGAACTTCAGCCGTTACCACTTATGAATGTTTATTCAGCTAGTAAAGTAAGTATTTAATAGTTTAAATTTTATAATATGTACAGGGTGGCTCATAAATAATGAAACAACATAACAGCAGATTTTACATATTAGCGTAACAAGGGGTTATAAAATATAGTGTGCAAAGTATAAAAATTGGATTATTTTTCGAAATAATTAAAACGTATTGAAATCTGAGTTCATGCGGATAAAATTATTTTTTTGATCCCACGTGTCTTATTTAAATTAATTTTTGAGTCTTACAGATTTCTATTCAATTAAGTTAATCTAAAATAATAAAAACATAAGTCATTCTTAAAGAAATCGTTCTTCTATTTCTTGTATTGTACTCATTAAATGACTTACTAGATATTTTTTCATTAATATCCATTAGACCTATTTGTTGAATAAATTTGTTATTATAATGCACAGTTAATTCACTTTCACTTGCTAAAAAAAGGCAACATTGTTATATAATGCGTTTCAAAATTATTTTGTTTGCAAATTCATGCAATTCTATTTAAGTATTGCGTCTTCTTGTTAAGTACATATGTAAAAGAAACAAGAGTTATTTCATTTACTTATCTCCCAGAAATTCACTACAGGTTAGATAATCTAAATGAGTATACAGTGTAATTAATTACCGTAATTTTAAATGCTTTGAAGTGGTTTCTAAGACACAACGTGAGCAAAATTTAAGTAAATTATTTTTTTTTCAACCATTAGAAAATGATGCCAGCGTTCTTTGTTGATGACAAAGCTTTGTCCATGTAATCATGCCTGTAATTGTCAAAAGAGGTGAATATCAATTGGTGTGAGGTTTGGACTATACGCTGGATGATCGTGGGTTTCATTCATGACAGCACTGTGCCAATATGATGACAAGTCTTCTCAAACAATTAAGTAAGATATTTCCGATCATCCACCGTATAGTCCAGACCTCGCACCAAGGGATTTTTACGTCTTTCGGCAATTGAAGGTATGGTGTGAGTTTGAGTAGACTGTGAATAGCCATCAACAACCAACTTTAAAAGTTATCAAGTCGTACTTGACCTCACTGGCGGTAAACTTCTATGAAAAGGTCATCGGAAATCACGATATGACAAATGTCTCATTCGTTCTGTCTATAAACTACACCAGAATTACGAAGTTTTATAAAAATTTGTCTCAAAATGGTATAATCATCATTATAAGTTCGTCAGCCCTAAGACTGGTTGGACACCCACTTCCACTCTTTTCTATTCTGAGCTAACCTTCGCATTAACCTTAAAATTAGAACATCTCACATCCTTAACTATTTGTGAATAGTAATCTAATCTAGATCTACCTTTACTCCTTTTAACTCCTGTTTCTGTTTCTAATATGTCTTTAACTAGCCCTTCATACCTGAGAAGGTGTCTTATCTCGTTTACAAATTTTAAATGTCTCTATAAAATTTTAACACAACTAGAATTCAAAGAAAAAAAAATTTCTTTAATTATTTATTGATGCTTCTCCATTTTATAGTAATTTATAACGTAATATTTTTGTATATGTTTTTATAGGTTTACGTCAAAAGCTTTACTATGGCACTTAGACATGAATATTCAAAGTATGGTATTACTGTTCAACACTTATCGCCTCTTTTTCTTAATACCAAAATGAACCAATTTAGCAACAGGCTACAGGAGAGTGGCCTATTTGTTCCTGACGCTGAAACATACGCCAAATCCGCTGTAAATTTGCTAGGTCGTGTTGATCACACTACAGGTTATTGGGCCCATGGGATTCAGGTAATATAATACTTAGGAATTATAACGAATTTCCGTAATTAGAAAATGAAACTTAAATTTACAGTTATCAAATCATTTTCTTCCACTTTTTAACCAACGTAAATGTCAAAATAAATGGATTACAAAATAATAATTATATATCATAAAAGCTCTATTAATATGAGTTATACGTTATGCAAGTATACTGAGGTTGTTTACATTATNTATTTATAAACATTATTTTGGTTTATTAATGTATTTGCCTAATTCCTTAGCTAAAAATTGTAACGGTTTACTGAATTTTCTTTGAGACTTCAATCAGCATTTAAGACAGAAAGTGCCAAATTGTTTGAAATCCAAAACTGCTTTCAACATTATTAACTCATTAATCTATTTATAAACGTTATTGCTGGTTCATTAATGTATTTGCTTAATTCCTTAGCTAAAAATTTTAACGGTTTATTGAATTTTTTAACCGGAGACTTCAACGAGCGGTTAAGACAGAAACTGCCAAATTGTTTGAAGTCAAAAACTGCTTTCAACATTATTAATTTATTAATCTATTTATAAAAATTATTGTTGGCTTATTAAGGTATTTGCTTGATTTCTTAGATAAGAATTTTATCGGTTCACTTATTTTTACATATTGTTTTACTCAGCCAGGACCGGTCCTTTGAGGTTGCGATTGAGTTTGTACGACCACTGATACATATTGCAATTAAATATAAATTAATTATTTCCTTAATAATGAATTGTTTAATCCATTTTTGTTTTTCTCTTTGTTGCAGGTTCAGCATGTTCTGTTGCAATTTCTATGTTATAATATTGGCGATTATCGGACTAGTAGCAATTTTCTTTTATTTGTCTGACACACTGTGGAGTTTCTTGCAACTTTCACATTCAATACTGGCACCGTATTTCTTGCCCCAAGAACTGCAGTCGTTGGTTAAGAAATACGGTTCATGGGCACGTATGTAATCAAAAACTTTTAAATTTTGTCCTGTGTGTTATTATTTTCATAACAGGATTCCACGAACCCGCTTTAACATCATGTTCTGCAGAACAAACATATAGAATTCAATTTATCGGAAATTTTCTTTCATTGTTACAAAAACAGTGCAAGCAAGAAAAATAAATTGACTAGGCTTCAGCAATCAACCAAAAATAATTTTAAGAATGCATTTTTTAATAAAAATCTTTAACTTTATCTTTTAAAAAATTTAATAGTAGAAGTAGATAAACGTCCGCCATGGATAAAATCAAAATGCAGATTGCTTTGCGTTGTCCCAGGTTGTAAACGTCGTTCACAGAAAGGTGTTCGCGTTAGTTTTTATTAATTTCCAAGAGCACCTACAGAACAGCTTTTTTAATATTTCCAATTATTTTTAAAATCTGATTTATGTGTACGACAATTCTCAAAAGTTCTACAACCTGAGCCGAACATGAAACGTGTGCAATATTGATAAATAATATTTTCGAAAATATCACAATTTTGAGGCTAACATTACGACAATTGATCCTAATATTATACTTCATTTACTTTCTCTAGCGATGTGCCCCTTCCAATGTCTTGGATGCGCGTTGGCAAAATCGTAGGTAGGGAGAAAAAAGCTCATTATACTCTCGACTGTTGTTCATTAAACATACTTTTTCATACAGTACCTGCCAAAAGTTTTGTTCAATCATGAATAGTAGTG